AAATAGAAATAGAGGTACAAATCTAAGCCATCACAAAGACAGAGGGGTCTAAGTACTCTGCAAACCTCAAACTACTAAAGTATTGTCAAGTGGTGAATCTAAGACTTACGATATACAAAGAAATGTGGCACCATATAACATGCATCTAAAAACATGCAATTCATAAATCTAAAATTAGCAACTCATAATCACAAATATCCATGCTCAATATAATGTAATAAATATATTTATACATGAATATGCATAGTATATAAATATGATGAATTTATGTTTTACAATATAATGGAAAAAATACTGACCTCTTACATAATCCAATATAGAACATGGCAGAGATAACACGAGTCTATAGATAGAAAAAATCAAAGGAAGTAATTTGAGCAGAATACACATCTGAATTTGAGCACTCTTGAATACATGGAATTTAAATTACCTGAAGAATAATTTTCCAAACTGTTGCAGGTTCAGCACTACCTGTAGGTGAGAATGACAGTTCTTTCAGTAATAGAAAGAAACAACAAAGAGAAGAACAAGCCAAAGAACTCATAAGATTATACCTAGAGGAATTTTGGAGCTGGTGTCTGATCCCATCTCCCAAAATCGAATATAAATAGCCCAACGTACACGCTGAAATAATTGTCAGGGGATTATTAAGGGAAGGATCCATAAATACAAGAGGAGGAATCAGAGAAAACGTTTCAATCATACCGGGAAATCTGCAAGACAGTAAAACGCAATTGCCTTAACTCAAAACACGACCTAGAGTCTGACCTAAAAATTAAAATCCAACGGATTGTACCCGCAAACCTAACGCAAATTTGATTGTCAAACACTAAAGTTAAAAGTCAACCTAGAACCTAACCCAAAACCAACCCCAAAATCAGGTCCAATCTCCAAAGTAAGAGACAAAATCCCTACCCAGAACCTAACCCAACAACCAATTGCAGGGGTGCATTAAGCTATTCCCATGTTTAAAAATTGTGAATAAGTACAAAAGAAATGAATATGACAATTTGCCTCTTCTTTCTACGCCGAACGCACTCCTCTCCATCTCCGACCCCTGATTCGTTAAAGTCTCTCATCGTTTCTTGATCTACTCGCTTTCTTTGTCTCCTGGTATTCCTAGGGGAAGCAAGAACTGAAGAGGCATTTCGGGTCCTGCGTCTCTTATACCTAGGAGGAATCCCTGAGATGGTGTCTCATCCCATCTCGCAAAATTGAATATAAATAGCCCAACGTACACGCTGAAATAATTGGCAGGGGATTATTAAGGGAAGAATCCATAAGCTCAAGACAAGCAATCAGAGAAAACGTTTCAATCATACCGGGAAATCTGCACATCTGATACGCAACGCCTAGAATCTGGAAATCTGAGGTTGATAGTATTTAGAACCACAACAATTTGATAGTATTTAGAACCACAACAAAAAACAAGACAGTAAAACGCAATTGCCTTAACTCAAAACACGACCTAGAGTCTGACCTAAAAATTAAAATCCAACGGATTGTAACGCAAATTTGATTGTCAAACACTAAAGTTAAAAGCCAACCTAGAACCTAACCCAAAACCAAACCCAAAATCAGGTCCAATCCCCAAAGTAAGAAACAAAATCCCTACCCAG